GAAATTTGTTGCCAAGCAAAATAGGGATTTCTTATTAGAACAAAAACTGCTACAAAACAACAATGCTTTGAGGCAAGAAATAGTAGTCAGCGTGACCGCGTACTCCATGTTGTGAACGATCCACAATCGTTCTTCTGCCGAGATCGACTCGAGCCTAGAAATATTTATAAATAATTGAGTCTATAATTTCTTTCAATGTACAGTTGAATCACCTGAAAGAAAAGCTTGCAGTAGTTCCCATCATACCCGACGGTCTTCTTTTAACTATCGGTCCTTTGAACGTAAATTGAGCCAAAAGTAAAATTGCTTGTGGTTTGATGAGTGGATCCTCGTCGTCTTTTTTCTTTCTCGAAATCTTTTGACTTTTGACATGTAGCTGTAGGAATGTCCTCCGAAGAGGAAAACCATGTCGACGAAGAAATGATTGCATCCAACCGCTGCTTCTTTTGGAATCGAGACCAGCCTCAGAAACGGTTCATCGCTTCGGGATAGGTTGGATGCAACTCTTCACAGCCAAATACCCTAATGGATCTGATCATCTGAAATGTGTCTATCAAGTTTGAGGGAGATCTTCTGATAAGCTTTTTCGAGTTTCTGGTAATCACGACTCATCACTAGAAGACACGGAGTGAAGAACGAATCCTTCTGGACTCTCTGATCACTTTTTATCAAAACACGGAATTCTTTTTCTTCATATCCATTTCCTCTCACTTTATTGTGCTTAACAAAATCATTTAGGGAAGTGGTCCGAAGCTCTAGGTGAAGTTGTTTGTAAAGATGAGGTTTCTACCGATTCTTCTACTGGTTTAAATTCAATGAAATATGTATCTAAAACACGATACGACATTTGACGTTGATACGATTGACTAGCAATTGATTCGTGTCATCGTGAGTCAAAACAATTCGTGTCATCGTGAGCTCTGCCCTGCTTCAAAAAGGCAAATCGCATGATTTTTGGGGAAGAATTCTAACATCTGATGAAACATGGATTCAATACGAGAATGTGAAGCGCAAAAATCAGTGACTTTCTCTAGGTCAACCCCCACAACCAACTTCCAAACCCGATATTCATGAAATGAAACTTATGCTTTGCTGTTGGTGGAATACAAAAGGTTTGGTGTATTATGAGTTGTTGAATCCGGGAGAAACTGTCACCGCGGATCGTTATTCAAAACAGTTGATGAGGGTTAAGGAAGCTTAAAGAAATTGGGCGTTGAAACATTAAAAGTGCTATTTTTGCATGAGAATGCAAAAGCTCACACTGCAAAAATCACTCACCAAAAAATCGACGAGCTTGGTTGGAAACTTCTACCCCACGCACCTTATAGTCCCGATTTGGCCCCATCAGATTATTTTTTGTTTCGGTTGTTGAGGAGTCTTCTGATGTGAGAAAGGCTCGGGAATCATGCACAGATCAAAAAAAGCAATCCACATTTATTTTGGCTCTTAAACTCCCCATTTTTTTGAGGATGGAATCAGGGACTTGCGACGAAGATGGGAACAAGCCATCAGTAATAATGGAGAATATCTCATTGATTGATGTGCGTTTTTTTATGTCTTTAGCAATAAACAGTTTTGTGAAAAAAACGACATTACTTTTTCCTCAACCTAATAGTTCAAAAAGAAAAAAAAGACTGAAAAAGCTAAAAGCAAACACTTTAGGAACTCGAAAAAAATGTTTTGCGGAAGTTTTGCAAAAGAAAAGCCAAAAGTAGGGCCGCGAGAGGAACCAAACCCAGGAAAAAAAATTGCATTATTTTGATAGCCTAACGCAGTCCCCTAGACCGCCGCTACTTTTCTTCCCTTATAGGTGAGGTGAGAGTTTGCCGAAAATGACCGAAACTTTGCATGCGCTTTTCTCGAAAGCCAGGGCCCGTGGGCAAAAAGGTCTCTTTACGTGGGCTATTTATGAATGTTATTTATGATGGTGGTTTCGACTTGAAGAATGGATGACAAATAGGGTCTAACTTGGTTGGTTTTAAAGGCTACTTGATAGAGTTTTGGTTAAGTCCCACCTTGATCTCTTGTGGACATTCTCTCTCGTGGACTCCTAGAAGAACACTCGGTCTACTTACGATAATCATCGCAGAACTTTGACAAAACGTTTCCCATTGATCTTCGGGGTGGGCTTTCGGACTGTGAGTGATAATCGATGGAATGATATCATCATTCTTCGTTGGTGGTTTCGACTTGAAGAATGGATGACAAATAGGATCTAACTTGGTTGGTTTTAAAGGCTACTTGATAGGAGTTTTGGTTAAATCCCGCCTGGATCTCTCGTGGACATGCGTTCTTCGGAGTGATTGTTAAAGAGAAGGGTTGAAAGTGCTGAAATGGAAATGAGAAAGGCTCTCGGGTAGTCTACGAACAGTATTTCTGTTGCACTAACATTTCACCCAATGTTTCATTGTCTTCTTCATCTTCTATTTCAAACATTCAGTTAACATTCCCAAGTCGACTCTTCCCGACCACAACAGCATCAGCAAAAGGAAAGCAAGAAGGAAAAAAGGGAAATTAACACTTTTTCATTATTCTAAATAAAACTCAATTTTAGAATTGGAATTCTTGAGTTTTTTTTAATCACTTGTAAGATTTTTGTTCTCCTTTTTTGACGTCATTCTTCATTCGAGATCTGCGGGTAATTGGAAAAGCTTTCTTTCGTCACTCACAGACCCATTTGTTGGAATCATAACTTTTTTGAGCCTGATTGCTTTTAAATGTTTTTTAAATGATTTGAAATGATCGCAAAAAGTTTCAAATATTCTACGGACCTATTTTTATTTTTTTGTCTATTAGGCTGGCCGACTAGTTCGTAAATTTTTTATGAAATTTTAAAGTGTAATTTCTCAAAAACCAGAGCATCAATCTTTCTGAACATTAACATTTTTGAAACGTTTATCTAATAGTCTATTCAGGAGCGACGAGAGAGCAAAATACTTGCAGCTTCAGGCGGAATTCTGGGTTTTTGTGAAAACATTTTATATGAGATTTTGAACAAACGATTCAGAAATAAAGAAAAAGATAACATCGCAGTTTTGTGTTTTCAGAAGATTGAATAAAATGGAATTTATTGGTTTTTGCTCGCAGAAAGGAACTTAAGACATTTATCAGAGCTGAGAGCTCCTTTTGCAAATAAAACGATACTGTTTGGTAGGAGAATAGGCCTCCCATGTCCCAGTGTTGCTCCAAAGCTGAAATGTGTTCATTTCTGATGGAAATCTTTTGATAAAACACTTTGCGTAATTTCACAAAAAGAAATTTCCTCAGATTGATCGAAACATTTTGGGATTATTATGCATTGGAAATTGGAATAAATATCGATAAATATTTCACGTTGAAAATCTTACATAAGCGTGGGTGTTCGAATCCGGCTCTCCAACCTTCCAATTCGTGAAATCCACCGAACTTCCATCCGTCCATTCAAAAGCATTTTCTTTGTTCGGATTTCTCTGAATAAAGAAGTTTTTATTTTTCACCGTTGAACTTTTTTTCAATTCAAATTAGATTTCTATCAGTTTCTTTCATTTCAGATTTCCATCAAAGAACTATCAGTCCAAGGGATCTTTTTTTCACAGAGAGCCTTCCGAAAATGGCTGAAAATTCATTACTATCTATTTTTTCCTTATTTCTGTATTTCTTTCAATAAGAAAAATTCAACCTTCATTCCGATCCAGAACACAAGACTCGAAGTAAAATTTTTCGCTGAAATAAACATCGATTGTTTTAGGCTTATAAAGCATAAATTTCTACCAAAGTCATGAATTTTTAAAAATCAAAATTTTTCAAAAATCAAAAATTTTCAAAAATCATGACTTGAATCATTTCGATTTCTTACCGAGTTTCTGAACAAAATCGTTCTCTTCCTGACTGTGAATTGAGACTGAATGGCCCTTTTGACTCGCACAATATTCCTCAGCTTCATCAAATGTCATTGGTCGAGCGATAAACTTGAGTTGAAGATAATCCTGGTTCACAACATCCACCAAACCTTGTACGAAGAAGCGGTTTTTGCTAAATACGACCATCCATCCAGTTTCAAGAGATTCATCGTTCGATTTCTGAATTTCTTCGGAAAACATTAGTCCAGATCCTTTAGACAAATACTCAATCTATTTCCTTAAGAAACGCATAAATCAGCCCGCAACCTCTTGATTTCGGCCATTTTGTTTTCTCTTTTAAATTGTAAAGAGGGGAATTGATTGGATTGAGTGGAATGGGTCTTTTGGGAGTGAAAAAACTGCTTTCTCAAGTCTCAGTCGACAAGAGATATCAAATAAACTCACATTTGGGTTTCGAGGTCAGAGTTCTCGCTCTGCAACGCGTTGATTATCCCTTCAAGCTCTCCAATCTTGGCTTTTCCGTCTCTTGCATCCGTATTTTGAGTTCTTCTGAAAAAAGTTGGGATTTTTACTATATATTGAGCTTGTCAAAAAGAAAATTACAAAATTAGTACAATTGTGCTTCGAGATCGTCGTTCTTCCTTTTCGTCTCGGCGATTTTCCCCATTAAATTCGCCTCGATTTGAGCCATTTTTGCTGTCAATCGACTCATCTCGACGTCTTTGTCCTTCGTTTCGTTCCGCTCTCTTGCGCTGAATGCTCAAATTACTCGGTACTCAAAATACAAAAAAGATGAGCTTGAATCCTTCCAGATTTTTGATTTCACCCACATTTCCGTCTGCAGTTCGAGGATGTTTCCTCGAGTCTCGACAAGCTCTTGTTGGGTTTCATTCCTGAAAAGTCGTGTCATTGAGACACTCAAGCCTATTTATTGTTTATTCTATCAATTTCGCTCTTCTCCCAAAAAACCAACAGATTTCTTTGACAAGATCCCAAGAGAACGGTGTCCGAACAATCCTTTTCACAGCTGAAATCTAAGATCATCGAAAAGTCTCTTTCTAACCAACTTCAAAGTACGACGATCACGAGACAGATTCTCATCTCGATCATTCGGAGATCTGAATGGTTGAAAACATAGCTATTTGAAGGGAAAAGAATACGTGGATGGATCCAATTGATCGCTTTGTTGAATCGACGGAGAAATTTGATGGAAAAGTAGGAGAATCGTGATGAATAGACCGAAGGCCATCACACCCATTCCGCTGAATTGGTTGATTAGTATTGAATTCGGGGAAGTGATTGACTCATTAAGCCGTTGAAACAATCGCTTCGAATAGAATTTCGTGCAAAAAAAAGTAGCATTTCGAGAAAAAGAAAGCCGTCAGTTCGTGTGAAGTTGGTGAGTGAGAAAACGCGGAGTTATCAGGAGACTACTTTCGGGGAAAGTCAACTGAACCGACCGTTCCCATCAAATCGCCACAATTGTTCCTCAATCGCCGCGGGGGAAGCTATCGATCTCCCCCCGGCGTAAACGATTGTTCATAGAGCCTTTTTGACTTCTCCAACTTCAAAATTCAAAGCTCCTCGAGGTGTCATCATTGTTGATTGTTGTTTTGGTTGTTCTATGTTTTTTTCAGTTGTTTTGGGTTAAAGCAGAACATTGTTGGAAAAAGCATCGCTAAGCAAAGCTTCTCTAAAACGGAAACTGCTCAAGGCATTAAAACCTAGAAAGAGAGAAAAGACAATCAGCTACCAGACTCGAACCTGAGAGCCCCCGCTTTGCCTCCCGGAACCAGCATCATGATCAGGAAATTTATCGAGAGCACTGGGACTGAGAAGCAATGAGTCAGAAATTTAGAGAGATTTTGAACTTGAGTGATGTTGATTCGAATGATGAGTAGCTTTCTCACATCAAATTTTTCAAGTCCACCTCGAGACAAAGAAAAAAGATCACAAAAATCTTGAGACATTGAGGCATGAGGATGATGAGGTTGGTTGTAGAATCTCTGGAGTCTTCCTTTCCCTCCTCGATGTCTTCAGAGCATCTCTTCTTTTTCCAAATCTGCAGAAATGCCCGAAATGACTGAAGAATTGCCGGAGGAGAGTGTCAAACGCATAGAAGAACCAGCCATCTCGTTGAAGAAAATCGCCCAACTCGAAGCCGATTTGTGGGTTTTTCGCCAAATCTTTGCTTCTATCAAAAACAGTCTTTAATTTAATCGAATAGTTTAGGCAAAAAATGAAAAAGGACAAAGACAAAGAAAGTCTTTAATTTAATTTTGAATTTTCTCGAAGAACAAGTGGAAATTAAAGGAAAGGGCTACTAAATAAGCAGAATTGATGAGAAAAGACCAAATCAAACAAGAAATTTGTTGCCAGGCAAAATACGGATTTCTTACCAAATAAAGAGAAAGGAGGGGAATGGGCATTCCTTTAGTCATCATTCGTCAACCAAAAACAATCAATCTTCATTTCAGCGAAAACTGAAAACGAAAACGGCTACAAAACAACAATGATTTGGGGCAAGAAATAGAATGAGAACACCCGGGTTCCTCCATAATTTACCTATATTCAGACTACCATGATTAGAGAACGTTTATTAGTGGCTCTTCCCCACAGTATTGCCTTTTTCCGTCATTTTCGAAATAGCAAACTCTTTGTGAAAAGTAATTCGTTTGACTGATAGTTCTTTGATAGAACGTAAAGTCGATTCTCGTTGATCTCTATTATAAAGGTCTTTAGACACTGTCGTCACTATGCTTGACTCAATATTTTTTTCATTTTTCAAGCAAATTCTTGAACGCTTTGGTGACATTATATTACACAAGCTTAAAAGCTCAACAACTGCTTTGACTCCAGCAGACGGCAGCGTAGAACCCAACGCCCAAGTAGAGGCTATTGCGATAGAAGTTAATCAGCTGAAAGCCAAGGGCGCAATAGTAGAATGCAAAATTGGTGAACCGATCTTCCTTTCTCGGATTTTTACGGTCCCCAAACCAGACGGGTCGCTAAGGCCAATTATCAATCTGAAGCCTTTAAACAAGCGACTACGACACACCCATTTTAAAATGGATACAGTCCGATCAAGAAGCGAGGTTGTTCGCTCAGGAGATTTCCTGCTGAAACTAAACTTGAAGGATGCATACTTTCACGTACCCATCTGCGAAGAGCACACCCCCTACTTAGCGTTCAAGGTGGGAGTCAAGGCGTACAGGTTCACAGTACTCCCATTTGGGTTAAAGTATTCACCAAGAGTATTCACCAAGCTGATGAAAGTACCCATCAACTATTGAAGAAGTCAGGGAGTCAGATGCGTAGTCTATCTAGATGATATCCTCATAGCTGCCGCATCTAGAGACGAAGTGATCCATGATTTGAACTTGACCTCACAAACGCTGATTTCACTAGGGTTTACCATCAATTGGGAAAAGTCTTTAACATTCCCCCGACAATCAATATCTGGGTCTCTACGTGTCATCGTTGCCACCTAGTCTAGCGATCCCGGTGCAAAAGCGAGAAGTTCTAACAACCTTAACCAGGGTCACGCTAGCGAGCACAGAGGGGAAAACAAAAACCCACTTACTCGAGACTGTGGTGGGAAAATTCGTGTACTACACCCAAGCAATCCCCTGGCTTGCGCTGTTCCTCCGTAAGACACAAAGGAAGCTTACGTCCACCATTAGACGCAAAGGCCGTGACTCCTCGCTCCGAATTTCGGAAGACATGAGAAAAGAGTTACTAGAAGCCTGTGAAACCTTAGGAGACGCAGGGCCGCTCTCAATGTTGACGCTATCCCATAATAGAGTCATTAGTAGTGATGCTTCAAAAGCTGGTTGGGGAGCCGTGTACGAGGGACACAGCGCGGGGGGTCGCTGGACTAAAGAGGAAGCTAAGGCTCATATAAATTGTCTTGAATTAGAAGCAGCCTTTTTGGGCTTGAAGACCTTTGCTAAGGAGCTTCACAATGCGCACATTCTCTTGGAATTGGAAAACACCTCAGCTGTTGCCTACGTAAACAGGTGTGGCGGCACCAGAAGTCCAGCTCTATCTCAGATCGCAACGCGAATATGGACTTGGGACCGAGAAAGGCATTTAACCATCGCAGCCACCCATCGGCCAGGCGCCCAAAACGTTGAGGCGGATTTCTACTCGCGAAATTTCAAGGATAATCTTGAAATTAACCTATCCGGGGTGGTGACCAATGGGCTGTTTAAAATTTGGGGCGTACCCACGGTGAACTTGTTCGCGTCCAGGACAAACGCAAAATTGCTCAAATTCTATACTCTACATCCAGATCCGGAGGCTTTTCGTGTAGACGCCTTTAGATACAAATGGGACCACGAGCTGGCCTACGCTTTTCCGCCCTTTTCGTTAATCGGAAAGGTTTTGGAGAAAGCGGAAAGAGAATCAGCCAATCTAATTTTAGTCACCCCAGCATAAACAAACCAACGCTGGATTCCACTGGCCGCACGCCTGACCACACAGCCACCACTTACCTTGAAGCCACTCAAAGGCGTTCCCCTGTTGACAGACGCCCTAGACAATCCTCACCCGATATTGCAGAAAGCGAACTGCGGATTATTGGCTTGAAGGATCTGTCCGCCCATTGGCGAAATCTCGGTCTCTCAACTAGAGCAGGAAGCTTGCTACTTGAGTCATGGGCTCCGGGTACTCGGAAACAATATGAGTCAGCCCTCAAAGCATGGTCACGATACTGCGACAGAGAGAATAAGAACCCCACCATCCCCAACACGGTAGATCTTATGAATTATTTGAGCTCGATCAATGAAAAAGGATTGTCCTACTGAGCAGTACTCACAGCCAAGGCGGCTATCTGTACCTTTTGGGAGATGTTAACGAATCCCGAGGGCAGGCTCAACAGTGAACTACTAACGCGCTTTATGAAAGGAGTTTTCCGGTCGAAGTCCCCCATGCCCAAGTATGCAGTGGTCTGGGACGTAGTGCTAGTGGTCAACAAAATTGTATCCCTGGGACCCAAAAATAAAAACCTGTCCCTGGAAATGCTCACAAAGAAAACTGTGACGATGTTGACTATCTGTAGCCCTCAAAGAGTTTCGGAGCTGGCTGCGTTGTCGGTGGAAAACGCTACCTTCTTCCCTGATAGGGTAGTGTTCGCCCTACCAATGACGAAGAACAGGGGTTCGAGACCGGCTCACGAGATCATCTACAAAGGGTTCCCGGACAACAAAGCACTCTGCCCATTGAGAACACTCAGGCATTACCTAGACAGAACGGAAGCACTAAGAGGCCAAACGGGGCAAGTGTTGATTGCACTTAGAGTCCCACATCAAGCGGTTACCCCTTCCACAGTGGCACGCTGGGTTAAAGATTTCCTTGTCTTAAGTGGCGTAGATGAGTCGTTCGGGGCGCACTCGACCAGAGCAGCCACCACCTCTAAAGCAACCAAGGCAGGCGTTTCCCTACAAGCGATAACTAAAGCGGCTAATTGAACCCCGGGCTCTTCCTCCTTCCAGAAATTCTATCACAAACCGATAGAATTGGGAGTTCAAGTTGCGGTGCTTAGGTACTACCTCCCTAAAGTAGTGGAAAGTTGAACTAGCAATTGTTAAGCTTTTAAGTTTGTGTAGTATACGATTATACGAGAATTTCAATTTCAACCCAAACTATTTAAAACATTTTAAAACTATTCTAGTCTTTCAATTCAAACTATGATTTCTATCCGATTTTCCTTTCTTATTGTTGAAATTATTCTAGTTTCTCAATTGAAACCATTATTTCTATCAAAGAACTGTCAGTCAAACGAATCTTTTTTTACAAAGTGCGTTCCAAAGTGGCTGAAAAAATCTCAAAAAAGAATTAAGTTTAACATTATGCCTTTCAATAAGAAAAATTCAACCTTTAGTCCGATCCAGAACGCTTCTTTAGAAACAACAGTTTTCGCTGAAATAAATCTTGTTTTTGGTTTATAAAGCATACATTTCTGCAAAAATCATGGGTTTTCAGAATTGAATCATTTCGATTTCTTACCGAGTTTTCGAACAAAATCGTTCTCTTCCTGAATGTGAATCGAGACTAAATGGCTCTTTCGACTCACACAATATGCCTCGGCTTGAGCAAATGTCATATCTTGATCGATAACCTGAAGATGAAGATAATTCTGGTTCACAACAGCCACCAAACCTTGTACCAAGAAGCGGTTTGTTCCAAATACGACCATCCATTCAGATCCAAGAAAGTCATCGTTTGATTTCTGAATTTCTTCGAAAAACTTTACTCCAGGTTTTTTTGAAACAAATACTCCTTCCTTTTCGATCAAACAAACTCACAAATCTGCCTGCAACTTCGCGATTTCGGCCGTTCTGTTTTTCCTTTCAGATTGTCTAAAGAGGAATTGATTGGGTTGAGTGGAATGGGTGTTTGGGAAATGAAAAAACTGTTTTCTTAAGTCTCAGTCGACAAGCTGGCTGTTAAAACCAAAGCCAACACTGAAACTAAACCCAGCAAGGTCTAGTTTTTACAGCTGGGTGGACTCTTCTTTTGGAAGTTATGGACTGGCTAGACAGAGTCAATTTCTAAAAGTGTCTGAAGGTTTTTTGCCTAAACATGTGAGATGTTGCACTTTCTCTGTCAAAAACCTTACCATAAAAACCTCTCTATCGTCTCGGGTGATTGTTCCCTGAAAATTTCCATGATATTTCTATTCCTTAGCATGAGGCAAGTTTCCATGCAAATCTAGAAACTATTCAAAACCTAAGGAGAAGTGTTTTATTAACTATTAGATCAGGGAAAAATTTTGCGTGTAACAATAGATTGCATTCTACAAGAAATAGCAACTACCAATCAATAAAGTATTCTCCATTTTGACTTCTTCCCATCTTCGACGCAAGCCCTTCATTTCATTTATGGAAGATTGGGGATTTTTGGATCCCTCGTCTCTATCGCCTCTGGTGATTCCATCCAATTAACGCCATTCCAAACACTCACAAATCGGCTTCCAACCTGGTCTCCAATTCGGAGACTCTTGTCGTGATCTCGCTAGCTCCACGTCCGGTTTTGTTCGCTCACGATCGTTCGCTTTGCCCGCTGTCTAATTGGGGGACCCGTGAAAGTATTTGCGCTGATGGGTTGGAAAATAGACATAGTTCGGCCCTTTGGACCGTACAAATCTCTCATTAGGCCTTTCAGACAGTTCAGAAAAGTCCACGGTTACACTCAGGCCCTTCTGGCCTTCAAAAATTTTCATTCCAGTCCTTCGAGCCTTTCAGAAAATTCATTCCTGCCCTTCGGGCCGTCAAAACAGTGATTCAGGTCTTACACACATCGGTGCAATTTGCGTTTTTTGATGAATTTTGATGAAAGATGTGTCATTCTACACAGAAAAATGTACTCATTTCAAAACAGGAAAAATTTTCCAAATTCTCCTGACAGATTTTTTGAAAAACCGTTTTTTAGTGGAAAAAGCGTCATTTACAACGGAGAACCCCGGGAACCCCTTTTTTTCGAAGCCTTTAACTCGGTGACATCGCAAAATCGAAAGATGTAAGGTGATAGATTCGATTTATTAGATTCTTATCTTCCTTTCCACACCAAAGCCAAGCAATTATAAAGCCTCCACAAAAACTAGTAGTATTGTGAATCTAAAAATAACTGTCTGTCTATTTGTAATGACCTCAGAAAGCGACTTTTAAATGCTCAAAATCCCATTCTCAAACATCTATTCAGGCTCGTCAAAACAGTTATTCCTGCCCTTCGGGCCGTCAAAACTTTCACTTTGGCACTTTGGCATCATCGCTCCATTCATTCTTCCCATTTCCTTGAATTCAAAACGAATTCACCAATTGATCGGAATGGGTGTGATGGCCGTCGCTCTATTCATCACGGTTCTCCTTCTTTTTCAACAAATTTCTTCGTCAAAGTTGGTCAGAAAGGGATTTTCGATGATCTTAGATTTCAGCAGTAGTGATGAGGGTTCGTCGTCAAGGTATATCCATCAATTTGTCTATCCCATCAATTTGAGGTCTTGTCAAAGAAATTTGTGGGTTTTTTTGGAGAAAAGCAAATCAATAAAGCGAATTTGGTAGAATGAACAAGAAATAGGTTTGCGTGCGATTCCAAAGTCGCCGAAATGTCAAGGACCTTTTCCGCGTTGAAAGCCGATTTGTACGTTGAAAACTGTTAGAATTTGACTGGCTAGAGTTGTTCAGCGAGAGGGAGTTGAACGAAACGAGGGAAGAAAATGCCGAGGTCGAGAGGAAATTGAGGTCCGAAAGCATGGAGCTAAAGGCCGAGTTGTGAGTCTTCTTCTCTCTCTGGTTATTCTTAGTTATCACAGATTGTTAACTAACAGAACTCCTTTTAGAGCAACGAAAATCACCGAATTGAGGGCCTAAATGTGAGTTCATCTCTTGTCGACTGAGCCTTAAGAAAACAGTTTTTTCATTTCCCAAACACCCATTCCACTCAATCCAATCAATTCCTCTTTAGACAATCTGAAAGGGAAAACAAAACGGCCGAAATCGCGAAGTTGCAGGCAGATTTGTGAGTTTGTTTGATGGAAAAGGAAGTAGTAATTTGTTTCAATAAAGTGCGGAGTAAAGATTTGCGAAGAAAGTCAGGAATCGAAGGACGACTTTCTGGTTGTATTTGGAAAAAACCGCTTCTTGGTACAAGGTTTGGTGGCTGTTGTGAACCAGGATTATCTTCATCTCAAGGGGATGAATTTTGATGAAAGATGTGTCATTCTACACAGAAAAATGTACTCATTTCAAAACAGGAAAGCGTCATTTACAACGGAGAACCCCGGGAACCACTTTTTTTCGAAGCCTTTAACTCGGTGACATTTTTATCTCACTCTTTTATCTCATTCTCAAAGCGACTTTTAAATGCTCAAAATTCCATTCTCAAGCATCTATTCCAGCTCGTCAAAACAGTTATTCCTGCCCTTTGGGCCGTCAAAACTTTCACTTTGGAACTTTGGCATCGTCGCTCCATTCATTCTTCCCATTTCCTTGAATTCAAAACGAATTCACCAATTGATCGGAATGGGTGTGATGGCCGTCGGTCTATTCATCACGATTTTCCTTCTTTTCCATCGAATTTCTTCGTCAAAGTTGGTCAGAAAGGGATTTTCGATGATCTTAGATTTCAGCAGTAGAGACGAGGGTTCGTCGTCCATTGATACCGTCCATCCCATCAATTTGAGGTCTTGTCAAAGAAGTTTGTGGGTTTTTTGGAGAAAAGCAAATCAATAAAGCGAATTTGGTAGAATGAACAAGAAATAGGTTTGCGTGTCCCAATGACAAGACTTTTCAGGAGTAAAACCCAACAAGAACTCGTCGAGGCTCGAGGAAAAATCTGCGAACTCTGCGAACGACCGACGAAGATTGGTGCTGATTTGAAAGCCGAGATGTGAGTCTTGAGATCCCTTAAAGAAATATCTGAGACTGAGACACATCTAGAGATTCCAAAGTCGCCGAAATGTCAAGGACCTTTTCCGCGTTGAAGGCCGATTTGTACGTTGAAAACTGTTAGAATTTGACTGGCTAGAGTTGTTCAGCGAGAGGGAGTTGAACGAAACGAGGGAGAAAAATGCGGAGGTCGAGAGGGAATTGAGGTCCGAAAACACTGAGCTCAGAGCCGATTTGTGAGTTTTCTTCCCTCTTTGGTTATTCTTTGTTATGACAGCTTGTTAACTAACGAAAGAAGCGGTTTCTCTCAAGATCAGAGCAGATTGATGGAAGTCGATTGAAATTTGAATTTTACCAGATCGGATTGGATAAATTGTAATCTAACTGATCTGATCTAAACTTCTCCAATATCTACTCGACAATTTAGATACGTATTTCAATCCCGTAACGCAAGAAAGCTAAACGAAACGATGGAAGAGAATGCCGAGGTCGAGAGGAAATTGAGGTCCGAAAGCATGGAGCTAAAGGCCGAGTTGTGAGTCTTCTTCCCTCTCTGGTTATTCTTAGTTATGACAGACTGTTAACTAATAGAACTCTTTTTAGAGCAACGAAAATGACCGAATTGAGGGCTCAAATGTGAGTTCATCTCTTGTCGACTGAGACTTAAGAAAACAGTTTTTTTCATTTCCCAAACACCCATTCCACTCAATCCAATCAATTCCTCTTTAGACAATCTGAAAGGGAAAACAAAACGGCCGAAATCGCGAAGTTGCAGGCAGATTTGTGAGTTTGTTTTATGGAAAAGGAAGTAGTATTTGTTTCAAAAAAGTGCCGAGTAAAGATTTTCGAAGAAATTCAGGAATCGAACGACGACTTTCTTGGAACTGGAAACTGGATGGTCGTATTGGGCAAAAACCGCTTCTTGGTACAAGGTTTGGTGGCTGTTGTGAACCAGGATTATCTTCATCTCAAGGTGATCGAACAAAAAATGACATTCGATGAAGCCGAGGCATATTGTGGGGGCAGAAAGAGCCATCTAGTCACAATTCACAGTCAGGAAGCGAACGATTTTGTTTGGAAACTCGGTAGGAAGTCGAAATGACTCAATTCTGAAAATTCATGATTTTCGTAGGAATTTCTGCTTTCAAAAAAAAAAACAATATTTATTTCAGCGAACACTCTTGATCCAAATGCTTGGTTCTGGATCGGACTGAAGGTTGAATTTTTCTTATGGAAAGACATAAATGAATATATTAAACTTAATTCTTTCATTTTTTTTCAGCCACTTTGGAACACACTTTGTAAAAAAAGATTCGTTTGACTGATAGTTCTTTGATAGAAATAATGGTTTCGATTGGGAAACTAGAATCATTTCAATAATAAGAAAGGAAAATCGGATCGAAATATCAATGTCTAAACAAAAATTTCTTTATTCAGAGAAATTGGAACGAAAGATTTGCTTTTGAATGGACGGATGGAAGTTCGGTGGATTTCGATAGGATTTCGGGTGAGCCGAATTGGGGAACCCACGCTTTGGTGAGATTTTCATGGTGAAAACATCAATATTTATTCCAATTTCGAATGCATAATTAATCCAAAAATGCTTAATGGAAGGATTTCCATCGGAAATAAACCTATTTGAGCTTTAGGTCCTCGGTGGGAGATGGGCGGTCGGGTATCCTACTTCTCAATTTCGTTTTCTCTGCAAAAAAAGCTCTCAATTCAAATAGTATATAATACATGCTACTTTCTGTAGAAAGTTTTTTGGAAAAGAATAGTTTTCTAAAATTTGTTGCCATGATTCTGGATCATCCTTTAAACCGGCCGCTTAGATCTCATCCAATCCCAGCAAGTTTTCCGGACCAACCATCGTTTGACCTTCAAACGCGTACATCAATATTCCAATCATTGTCGCCGTTCCGGTAAAGTCGCTACTTGCTGGCAGTTGGTCGAATTGATTCGGTTGTCGAACGGTATACTGCAAGATCATCACGATGCCAACGGCAAAGAAAATTGCTGACGTCTGAAAAGAGTTCCGATTGATGAAATTGCTGTTTCCACTTACCATAGCAAAATATGCGATGACTCTCATTCTTGTGAACATATTCACAAGAATCAGAAATGGCAAGCAAATCGTACAAGTGATGAACATTTGCTCGTTTTTCGTCGAGCGCTATCGCTAATCAACATCTCACTGGCAGATCTGTCATTTGACTGCTTTTCTCTATTAAAAGTTGTCAAGAAAAGCTTTTCAATATTTCTGGAACCGTTCGCTTTGTTTTAATGACTTTTACCGGAAGATCGACGAAGACAAATGTCGAACAAACTTATAAAAAAGGATTATCTTTGACAAATCAGAATGATCAGATAGATCAGAAGCCCAAACTTAATAAAAGCTATTTGCAGAAAACTAAAACAAATTTGGTGGACTATTTCATTATAAAAATTCATTTGAAGAGTTGTGATTCTAGAAAAAGAGTCAAAATGCGTTTTTAATTAAATTTCAGATAAATAGAGAGCAAGTTTGAAATAGCGCATAAGACCTGCCCCCAAGATGACAACTCGGGGTGTCCCCGAATCGGGGCAATCGCCGATTTTCATGTTTTTGGTGTCAAAAGGTACTGTCCAGAACTCAAACTTATAAGATTCATACAGAGAGCGCACGTAAACGCGAAGCTTCTGGAAACTTGGGTAATTAAACCATCCGAAAAAGTCTCCATGTTTGCTACCTATGTGCCCTCCAATGCAATTTCTCTTCCAGATGCGCGAAGAGGTGGCCTGTCACGCTTCCAAGTGACTGCCGCTAAATTCTCGAAAAATTCGAGGGAGGACCTTGACAGGAATGCTTTCGCTAATGCTGTCTTCCGCAAAAACTTCAATGATTGTCTGATGCGATTCAGTCGCGGATTTCCTTTGTTTAAAAATCATACCACGAAGCGGCTTTAAGTCGGAACTATTCGTCTTGCATCCTGTACCTGAAAATATTGTTAAAATTTGTAAAAGTGAAATATAATATGAAAGTATAGAGTGTCTAGCTGATATCTATTTGAAAAAATTGCATGAGTAAAGAACTGGAAAATTGTCAACAACGGAAATTCAAAACCGACATTACTTTTTCCTCAAACTAATAAAAACAGATTTTCGAAAGAGAAGATCCTTTTAAGAAAAAGCCTCCTTACGGTAAAAATAGCTATAAATTTCAAATTTGCTCTTCGTTTGTCTCTATTTTATTTGATTTTATCTAAAGAAACGAGAAGGGAGAAATCTTTTCACGCATCTTGTATCTAAAGTTTTCAGTCATTGGTGCTTTCCCTCTTCACAACTCCTTTAGCCATCTATTCCGCTGCAACCAACGATAAACTAACACTTCCAATTCGATAAAGATTTTCTTGTTTAAAGGATCTCTTTGTTTCAGACTACTTGCAATCGCTGAAGACTTTAATAAGTTTCTTAATGCAGTGACGGTCACAATTTCTTGTTATTGCTCAGGCCAGAGTTTCCGCCTACAGAACTAACAGTGAGTCAAAAAAAAGCAGAAATCGGATTTTTGAGAACTTCAG